TATATATATATATATATATAGGGAGGGAGAGGGAGAGGGAGAGGAGACACATTACCATACCATCTTGCTTTTATGTTTTTCCCTTCTTTTTCTAGTACTTGTCTCCTGTCTCCTATTTGTCTCTTTTACAACAACAATAACAACAACAACAGCAGCAACAGCAACAACAGCAACACCAGGAATACGTATACGACTATTGTATGTATATATATATATATGTATATATATATGTATATATTTGTTTGTTATGTTGTTATGTGTATATATATAGATATATCCAACAACAGTACTAACAGTTGCTCGTGACCTAGAGAGCAGTCTGACCCCCCCTGAGGTGTCTGTGCTGCTGCTGCTCGAGCCATCAAGACAAAGGACAAAAAGAAGAAGAAAAGGGAATGCATTCTTTGATGTATTACAGAAAGTATTAGGTAGAGGAGACGGTTCGCAGGAGACAGAGACCATTGGTCACCCTACTGCTGCTGCTGGATCTATGAATAATACATCTAGTTCATCATCATCATCATCTGCAGCAGCAGCAGCAGCAGCAGCATTTGCTGCAGCAGCTGCAGCAGGTTTATCTGAAGCACCAGGTCCAGCAGATGCACAAGCATATAGAGGTGCTGCAGCACCAACAGCAGCAGCAGCAGCAGCAGCAGCATTAGCAGCAGCAGCAGAACCTCCAGATACATCAACAACAAGTGCAAAAGATTATAGAAAAAAATTAGATAATATTAGATCATTTAGTCCTGGTGTATATATAAGAATAGATTCACAATTATTTAGGACCTTATTGTCTCCTGATTTGCGTCTCCTTCTTCATTCATGCGCCGGTATTGTTGTTGTTGTTAGTCCCCAAAGGTGTCTCCTTGTCTTAGGAGAAAGTCTTAATCTTCTTAATGCAGCAAGAACTAAGGATCTATTATTATCCTCTAATATACAGGTATTATATGCATATACATATATACATATATACATATACATATATACATATACATATACATATATACATATATACATATACATACACATATACATGTACATATACATATATAGAAAGAGGAGACGCCTTATTTATTATATATACATATAAAGGAGACACCTTATTTATAACAGGGATTGTATACACAATAGAGAGACAACTAATACCCTACAAGGAGACACCTTGTTGTGGATAACAGGAGACACCTGATGAGGAGACAGACGTCCACATCTATAACCAGTGTTTGTGCATTTATCATCTTATTTGTACTCTTTGCTCCTGTTGCTGCTGCTGCTGCTGCTGCTGCTGTTGCTGCTATATGTGTGCAGCGTGCAGCACTACTTCGTCAAGGGGAGGCATTTTGTTCAGCAGTAGCAGGAGGAGACATTCAGCATCCAAATATATTATTAGATATAGAGTTAGAAAAAACTGTCTCCTTTGTTGTCCCTCGTCTTGCCTCTCGTCTCGATTGTGAGGGAATACAGATCGATTTAGGTAGTCTTAAGGCTAAGAGTCTCCTACAACCAAGGAGACTAACTTATCCTTCTTATCTAGATACTAATGCTCTTATTGATTCATACTCTTGCGAGTAAGAATTACTCCTGCTCCTCCTGCTGCTCCTGTTGTTGCTGATACTGCTGCTGCTACTGCTGCTGGGGTCTTTTCGTGTGCTGGGGCTGTTTTGTTGCTGCTGGCATACATGGCGCCGCTGCTGCTGCTACTGCTGATACTGTATCTCTTCTTCTTGCTGCTGTTGCTGCCTGTGTCTCTCAGGCTTACTGGTCTAACTGTGGCAAGGACGATGTCCTGCAGCAGAGATTTGCTGCGTCTACAGATGTATTTAGGGGGCCTCGTTGTGCCGTTCCCTCGTCGTCTCAGCAGTCTGCTGCAGCTCTCTGCAGCAGCAGCAGCAGCAGCAACTGCAGGAGGCGGGGCCTCTTGGATGTCGCAGCAGCCAGCATTAGCAGACATGGGGGGACACACGGAGACAGTAGGGGACTCTGCGTCTGGGCTCGCTTCCCGATATCCAGGTGGTGCAGCACAGTGGCAGCAGCAGCAGCAGCAGCAGGGTAAGGGTGGTAAGAATCAGGAATCTGCTGCGGGGACAGGTCATAAGAGTGAGGATACTCGAGGTGTCTCCTCTAACGGCGGATCAGCATCAGGTGTCTCCTATCTTGTTAGGCCTGTACAGACGAGTACGGTGTCTCTTAAGGTTGCTCATGACAAGTATAGGCCAGGTCTCCCCGCCTTCCATGTAAGTGTCTCCTTGTCTCCTTTTGTCCACTATATTTAATCTGCATATGCATGCGTGTACTGTCTCTGCTGCTGTACATGCATTCTCCTTCAGCTTCCGTTGCTCTTATTGTTGCATGCATTGCCGTTGCATGCATGCATTGCCCTCCAGTTGCTGCCGCAGTGGTTAATAATAATTCCTCTTCTTGCTGCTGCATGCATGCATGCATGCAGGTGGATGTAATTCAGGAGAGTATAGCTGTCTCCATATCGCAACACGACATCGAATTAGTCTCCAATTTAGCAGCAGAATCTCTTGAGATATTTTATTCATATTCTCCCCGTCTTGATGCTATTTTCTTAGATGCTGCACAGCAGCAAGCAGCATTAGATGCATGCATTCTGCAGCAAATGGAGGCCAAATGTGTGGAACTCGAGAAAGAGCAGCAGAGACAGCAACAGGAGCAGGAGCAACAGCAGCAGCAGCAGCAGGAGGAAGGACAGGATCAAGGTCATCAGCAGGGGCAGCAGCAGGGGCAGCAGCAGGGGCAGCAGCAGCATGTGCAGCAGCAACATCATAAGGAAGGAGATGTGGACGTCCGTAAAGCTTCGCACCCCGAAGAGGAGACAGTTGTCTCCTCGATTGCTGCAGCAGGGGTAGATCATACAACAGCTCTTGTAGGGACACAGCTAGCCCTTAGCAGGGCGAGGGCACAGGAGGCCCTTGCTTATGCATCTAATACATTGGTAAATAATAAACAAGGAGACATGTATATGGAGGTACATTGTGTACTAGGAGGTCTCCGATTGTCTCTTCTTCGTAGGGGCCCCACAGTTAGCTGCAAGGTTGGCTATGCAAGAGGAGACCCAGCAGCAGCACATCAACCCCCTGCAGCAGGAGACACAGAAGACATAGATTCATACGTCCCTACTGCAGCAGGAGGTGCTGGTGCATCTACTGCAGCAACAGTAGCAAGCGGATTCCAAGGAATGGCTGCTGCTGCTGCAGACCCTCCTCCACAAACCAGTGGTGGGGGGGGCCTCCGTGGCACCGGTCCAGGGCAGCATCTGCAGAACCGTCGCCGGCGTTGGCACTTTGAGTCTCCTGTTGCTGCTGCAGGAGGGACAGGTGCTGCTGCAGGAGGGACAGGTGCTGCTGCAGCAGGAGGTGGGGGCTTCTTCAGTGGATTTGCACAGGTTGCTGCATCTGCAGTTGAAGGATTAGCTGCGCAGCAGCGTGCTGCTTCTTTAATATCAGGGGAAGGGGGACAGGAGGGGACTACACAGGCAGTGTCTGTCTCCGGCGCTGCACGAGGGACAGCTCCCTCCTATGGTGGTTGGCTCTCTGCCTGTCTCCCCTTAACAGAGTGCAGCACAGGGCAAGCTTACCGTCCTTACCAGACAGTTGGACCACTGGTCACGTTGCTGCTAGGGGAATGCTTCATAGAGGCATTCACCTCTACAGAGGGTCTCCTCCATGCACGTGTCTCCTTACAAGGAGCTGAGTTAAGAGACGATACAAATATTGCCCCCTTGTGTCTCTCTTCTCTTTACTTAGGGTCTGGTGCCCTTGATCATCCACAGCATGAGGCAGCAGGAGCATCGCAGGAGGAGACAGTTGCTTCTCTTGTCTCTGCGGGGGACCGCAACAGTGACAGGGGAGACAGTCCAGGAACTGCAGCAGCAGCAGCAGCAGCGCCGTATCAAGTAACAGGCAGCAGCCAGAAAGGTGCTATGTATGAAGTTAAACAATCCGCACAAAGACTGCGGAGAGCTCGCACAGCCCTCCTCGTTACTGAGGCTAGGGCTGTTACTCCTTCTAGACAAGCGGAAACTGCTGAGCAGCAGCAGCAGCAGCAGCAGCAGCAGTATGGTAGTGGTCGTAAGGAGAACAGAACGGGCGACGATACCACTTTCCGTGGACGTGTTGCCGCGTCACCCCACAGCAGCAGCAGCAGCAGCAGCAGCAGCAGCAGTATAGGTGTTGGTGGTGTTAGTGGTGGTGGCTGTTCCTTGTTACAGTGTTGTCCACGTCGTCCCCATTTAGAAATAAATCTTCATGGTAATGCATTAGAGGAGACAGTTGATACACAAGTGTCTCTTTCTAATACAAGAGTTGTATTAGTATGGGAGGTACTGTATGAGGTATTACAGGTAGTTAGTCAGCTAGCTGAGGATATGCCAACATTTCAGCAGCCTCCTCCTCCTCTTGCTCCTCCTCCTCCTCCTGCATGGAGTATACCCCAACAGACAGCTAATCAACAACAACAGCAGCAGCAACAGAATCCTCAGCAGCAACAACAACAGCAGCAACAGAAACTGGAGGAACAGCTGGAGGCCGTCGTCCAGAGGCTGCTGCAGGCAAGGAAGAGATCCTTCTCTCTGCAGAGGCCAAGCAGGAATCCAAGTGTAGCAACAACAGACAGTCGATGGTTTAGTCTTGGGGGAGGAGACGATCCCAAGGACTCAGGGACATTTGCCTTATTCTCTACTCCTAATTATTCATGGGTACAGCAGCAGACATCAATGCAGCAGCAACAGCCAGGGTCTCCTGAACTAAGAGCAGCAGTAGCAGCAGAAGCAGATGCAGCAGCAGATGCAGCAGCAGCAGACTTCGCTGCTCCTTCCATGTCTCCTCATCATTTAGGCGAATTCCCTTTGCGATGTTCAACCCGTTTCTCCATTGATGCCGGCTCTTCAGGAGAGCAGCAGCACGAGCAGCAGCAGCAGCAGCAGCAGCATGTTGACAGTGAAGGAGAAGGGGTAGCTCCTCCTGGTTCTTTACCCTTGTGGGCACCAACGGGAGAGAGCGTCAATGCCTCTAGTTTTATTGATTCTTGCCGTTTGCGTCGTGCAATAGAGGCAACACAGTTAAAGGAGACAGCTATAAAGGAGACAGGTTATAATAAGGAGACAGTTGATAATAAGGGTACAAGTGTTGGTATAACAAGTATACATGATCGTAATAATAGAGACAGACAAAGGAGTCCCTTAACAGGGGTAAATGAGAGGAGACAGCGTCATAGAGGACATAGTATAAATAAAGGGTCTCTTATCCTATCCCATCTACGTCAGGCCTCTCGTTGGTGTCTCCCTGTCTCCGCATTCGCTGAAGGAGAGAGTATAAAAGCTGTTGGATTCGCTGCAGGGACTGAGGCATTTAATTATTGTAGGGGTCTCCCACAATTCCATTTTCGTCTCCGCATGCATCACGCAGAGATATGGCTACCAACAGAGCCTGTAAGAATGCCTATAGATCAGCATGTTGATGTACAGCCATCTCTTAGTAGACGTAGTGCTACTACTGCAGCACTCTCTGCTTCTTCCCATAACGAACGTAGGAGACAGCAACAGCAACAGCAGCAGCAACAGCAGCAGCAACAACAACAACAACATCAGCAACAACACCACCAGCAACATCAGCAACAACATCATGGGGACACAGGAGAGGGAGATGGGTCTAAGGGAGGTAGTGCAAGTGGTGGTGGGGCCCCTTCTGGGGGCCTCACTGCTGCACCTACTGGGGCCTTCGGTAGGAGAGGGAGGAATCTGCTTAATAAGCTCAGGTTTGATCATATCCTCTCTGCAGAGAGCAAGGGGGGACCCCCTACGGAGACAGGGACTGTAGCAGGATCCGGGGGAGGGAAGCGCCGCAAGGGAGGAGATGCACAGCAGCAGCAGCTGCTCCATCATCTTGTACCTGATGGGATAGCTGCAGCAGTCCCTGGGATCGTCTCTGGTCTGGCATTTGCTGCTGCAGGTGTCTCCAGCGCTACTGCAAAAGGGCGCAGGGCGATACTGGGGGCAGGACGCAGCAGTGCGGCACTGCAGCAGCAGCAACAGCAGCAGCTTTTGTACTGCAGCAGCTCCATGCCATCAGGAAAGAGATACTTCGTCCGTCCCCTTAAGGCATCTGCTGTTGACTACTGGAGGGGACTACGGAGGTTGGTGCTGCGGAGAGACAGAGCAACACCTGAGGGGACAGCAGCAATTGCTGCATGCGCTGCTCGTGTCCCTAAGCTTATAGCTGTCTCCGCAGGTTTCGAGGCATCCTTCTCGATGCTGTCGCTGCAGCAGCGGCAGCAGCAGCAGGAAGCGGAGGGAGGAGACGACAAGTCTCCTGAGGATACCATAGCAGAGCTTGCTGGTGTAAGGGAATTGGATAGCAGCAGGGCCTTCCTCTTGCAGAGCCTGTCTCCTTATTGTCCCTGTCTCTTTAGAGTAGGGTTGACTGTCTCCAGTTTGTGTGCTGTGGCTACACAACCAGAACTAGTGTCTCCTTTGCTCCCTTGTGTAGTAGCGTGGGAGCCGCTGCGGCTAGGGAGTCCCCTCCTGTCTCCTATGAGGACACAGCTACATATAACTGTGTGTCTCCCTTCTGCTAATGCGTTAAAGGAGAGGATATGTGGTATATGTCCGGAGACATCTGCTGCTATAAGGAGACGATATGGGCTGCTGCAGGGAATGGAGCCAGAAGGACTGTCTCTCCGTTTAGGTATAGAGCCTGTCTTCTTAACACTAGATACCCTCTCTGTTGTTCTTTCCTATCAGCTCCTATCTATAGCAGGGGCCCTTGCTCAGGAGACAGCTCGTCTCTTCCCTTCTCCTCCTCCTGATCCAAGGGCGAATGCAGCCGATGTCTCCGACACCAATACAAGCAACCCCAAGTCTCTTACTGCTGTTACCAATGCACTGCAGCACAGGCAGCATCCAGCAGCAGCTGCAGCAGGAATTGGCCCCATGTCTTATGATCCATACGCCGGTTCTGCTGCTGGATATACGCATGCAGAGGAAGAGCCTACAGGCAGCTCACGGGGTGTAGGCCATGGGGGTCTTAATCCTGTATTGGAGAGTTTTATTGCTGAGCAGCAGCAGGAGCAGCAGCAGCAGCGCCGGATATCCTCAGGAAGGGATGGTGTCTCCCCTTTGTTATTATCTCCTGCACCTGATGGTGGAGGAGAGAGGAGCTGGGGGGCCTCCCCATGGGGCCCCATACCTGAGGAGGAGACAACGGAGACAGCTTGTGTATTAACAACAGAAGAGGCTCTCGCAGGTTTGCTGCATACAACAGCAATGGCTGTTGAGGTGTCTGCTGAGCTTATTAGGGTGTCGCTATGGGACACCTTTAGTGTTAGTAGGAAGTGCTGCTTCTCTATTACTGTAGAGGATGTAGAGATAAAGGGGGCCTCTCGCCCCCGTTGCTCGGAGACGATCCCACTCGATCCCAGTACAACTACCCTCTCTGCATGCGCAGATCCATTCCTTAAGGCTTGCTGCTCTATGCTGCAGCACCAAGAGCTGTCAGCTCGTCACCAGAAACTACGCCGCAGGTTTATACATATTCAGGCCCCTATCAAGAGGAGAGACAGCAAGAGCAGCACATCGCAGCAGCAGCAGCAGCTGGTGATGCTGCAACACGCGGAGACAGCAACAGGCACAAGGATGAATCACCTCCAGACCTCCCCCTCATTCTCTAGTCGAGACTCTGATGATGATGGTCTCCCTAGTGTCTCCGCAGCGCATGCAGGGGGGTTTGCCAAGAGTCCCTTACAAGCAAAGGACTCCGTGGTGTCTCTTCTATCTAGCAGGAAGGAGAGACGCAAGAGCAGGAGACAGCAGTTTCAGCAGTTATTGGAGCAGCAGCAGCAGCTGCAGCAACAGCACCAGCAGATGCAGCAGCAGCAACAGGGGCAGCAGGGGCAGCCACTGCAAGAACGTCTAGGCTCGCGGTCTTTATCTCGGGGGTTAAGGAACATGGCGTCTGCTTCTCTTGTGCGGCGGCATGTGGATAAAGAAGCAGAGAAAGAACGTGATAGGGAGAGAGACAGAGAGACATATAGAGACAGAGCATGCAGCGGGCCCCAACTCCTTAGTGCTAATGACCGCATGCAAACAAGCGAGACACTACAAGGTCTTCCTTTTACAGAGGAGAGAAGAGAGGCAACATCTAGCGACATAGCGTCTGCGTGGTCCACTGGAGACATTTTCTGGCGTCTATGGAGAGACTTCGAGGAGCAGCAGGAGAAGCAGCAGCAGCAGCGACCGTTGCCAGCCCATACCAACGCGCAGCTGCAGCAAGGGGATGGAGGACATGGATTCATGCCTGTACTACCGACGGATGCAGGCGGTCCCTCTCCGTTATTATCAGCAGGTGCTGGGCAGCAGCCTCAGTTTCTGGGACAACTGCTACAACAGCAGCTGCAGCAGCAGCAACAGCAACCAATGCTGGTAACAAAGCATAGAAGTGCTAAGGTGTCTAGGCATGCACAGCGTCAAGGCAGCCAAATGCCCCACAGACGGAGAGGCTCATACTTCCGTCTCCCTAAGTCTTTCCGCCGTTGGGTAGTATCTCAATATAGAGGGCCGGGTACAGGCAATGGGCCCCCTCCTCCCCCTCCAATGGGTGTGGGGGGCCCTATGGGGCCCCATAACGACTATTTGGGTGGGGGCCCCTTTGGACCAGAGGTTGCAACAGGGGAGAGGCTACGACGTCTTATGCTAGCATCTGAACCATGGGCTAGTATGGATATGAATTTTACTGTCTCTGCTGAGCATTTAAATAGACTAGAGGGGACAACAGATGCAACTGTTGAGCCATGGAGATTGGAGACAGTTGGACGTAAGGCCTCATTGGCTGAGCCTACACTTCTTGATCTAAGAGCATCATGGCTTAATCTTAATTTTAATGTTGCTCTTGCTGATGCTCTTCTTGTTTATGGTTATGCCCTTATTGGTGTTGTTGTAAGACAGAGGGCTCTCCTCCATCTTAATAGCCGCAGATTAGGACCCAAGACCGTGGGGGCCCTTGGGGGCCCCGGTGGGGGAGGGGCCAATAGAGATATCTGCGGACAAACAGTTTATGGGGGGACATTAAAGAGACCCGAGTCCTTGGAGACACGCAGCGCTCGTCTTGCTGCTGCTGCTGCACCCACGGAGTTAGGGGCGCAATCGGAGCTGCGGTCTCAACATCCTCAGCAGCAGGGAGTGTGCTGTTCTGGGGAGGAGAGCGAGGCTTCGCATGCACTTGCTGCTGCTGCTGCCGCAGCAGAAGTACCTGGTTATTATGCTGTATTGCGCCCTGATGGGACAGTTGTAGGGAGCAGCGGCTTTGATCTTTTTGCCCCCCTTGAGGATGCACTGTCTCTTGAGCTGTTAGGAGACCATTTGCTGCAGCGATCCTCTGTGCATATGTCTCCTTGTGCTGAGTTTGCTGGGGACCAGCTTAAGGAGGCGCAGCAGCAGCAGCAGCAGCATGCAACGCCTACTCCTCCTGTTGTTGCAGATGAAGCAACAGATAAGGAGACGGGAAGACCTGCTGCCCTTACACACCCTCAGCAGCAGCAGCAGCACCCTTCGCATACATCTGCTGCTGCATCGCAACCAGACGGCAGCAGTCCTGCAGCAGAGACCACCAACAGAGACCAAGCCAGCAGCAATCCTATGCTGTATAATCTACTAGGACAGCCTATAGCCATTATGACAGGTAAGGATTAATCTATTCCCTTTGCTGCTGTCTTACCTTTGCTGCTACTTTGCTGCTCTCGTGCTGTCTTCCTGCTGCTGGTTTTCCTGCTGCTGTACCCAGCTGCTGCTGCTGGAATGCGTGTTGCTGCTGTTATTTCATGGTTGCTGCTGTCGTGCCTCCACCCGCATGCATCTTTTCTAGCTTTTGTTGGTTTTTTGTGTTTGCATGCATAAGTGTTAGGAGGCACTAATCATGAGGTGTCTCCCCATGCACACTGTAAGCATATATACATACATGTATACGTATATTTATATGTATATATACCTTATGTGTCTCTTTGTGTGTATAGATCTGCACTGTGAGGAGGGGGCAGATGTATTAAGTGGCAACTGGACAGTCTTAAGAGACCAAGGAAGCTTTTGTTTGCCTGTTGATGAGAACGGCCGAGTGTCTCCTTTTATAGTTCGTCTCCGTTTACTTAATTATGTTTATGATTTACCATCTAAACTATTTTGCTTCAGTGCGGAGACAAGGGAGGTTATCCGTCTCTCTGTCCCTGAGCAACCCCTTCCCCCTAACCTGCATCTGCAGCATGAGGATGGAATAGAGGGAGGAGACGAGGCATCTGATGCCCCTACTAAGAAGGGCCCTTTCTCTCAGGTGTCTCCTCCTATTCGTCCTCGTATGGTTCGTAGGAATTCTGGTGATCCTACAGGTTATGATGGTTTCCGTGGAGGTGGTGGTAATGGTGGGGGCCCCAGGGGCCCCTCAAGGGCTGGGGGAGCCCTACACAGGGGCCCCCTTGCGTCAAGTGCTTTTAAACGATTTCGACGTAGAGGGTGGTATGTACCCTCTGCCTTACCTCGGCCTCGTTCTTCTGTATATTTATTATGGAGGACATCTGCCTTCGCCTCTGCTAGTGGTATACCTAGACATGATTTATTCCTCTCTTCTTGTGTCTCCGTAAGGAATGCAACAGAACTGTCTCTTGCTATATTACCTACTGTCCCCGGTCCTACAGATGAGAGGACATCTGTATTTGCTGCATTTAGGCGAAAGTTTGCTGTGCAGCCATCAAGACCTCCTACAACGTCCATGCCTCCTTTCTTGCGGGGACTAGAGGCTTTAAAACACCAAGAAAGAAGAAGCAAAAGGAGACAGCAGATGCACGAACATTCGCAGCAGCAGCAGCAGCAGCAGCTAAGAACATTCCCTCCTGTTCTAAAACTGCCCGCTATGGAGCACTATATCATTGAGGACCCCACTAGTACAGATATTGGTCGTAAGTTCTCCATGGTCGCAGACTGTCCTGATGACGACGACGATGCAGCAGCAGCAGCAACAGCAGCAACAGCAACAAGTGCTACCTCAACTGCAACAACAGCACAGCCAGCAACCACCTCCGCATCCAGTGCTCCTGCAGGCAGCACCGCACAAACACCAGGCAGGGTTAAATTCGCTGTTGAGGGTCTTATTCAGCAGCGGCAGCTTCATCTGCAGCAGCAGCTGCAGCAGCAGCAGCTCCAGCAGCTGCTGCAGAGCCAAGTCCATAGAGACAAGGCCTCGAGGTCGAAAGAATCGCTCCGTTCAGATAGTCTCCTCAACCTCCAGGGGGTGAACGTCGCCTCTGACGTTTCGTCGACCCAACCGGTAGCAGATGCAGCAGCAGCAGCACCAGCAGGAGCAGGAGGCAGAGAGGCGGAGGAGGGCGTAGGCGAGGGCGCTTGGGGATGCAGCGATGCATCGCTTGTAATAGGAGACGAGAAGGAGAGGGGATCCCCAGGGGCACCCGCCTTAAAAGGGGCCATCCCCGGTAAGAGCCCTCGCTCTCCCCGTGAAGATGACCGTTTGCTGCAGCCGTTGGATGCGAAGGAGCAGCGTCGATCCCAACGCCGCCGTAGCCGCGGACAGCACCGGGATCCTCGGGATCGAGTGGGGTCTCATTCTCCTGGGAAGAGGAGACGATCCCGATCCCGTGAGCGTCAACAAGAAAAAGTTCCTCTTACACTTGGTGTTGATTATTTAGTCCTTGATGGACGTGACCGTCAGCTCCTGCCTCTCCCCCTCTTCTGGCAACTTACGGATAATACCCCTCTATGGTGTTGTCTTGCTGATCGTATTCCTAAGTATAAACATAAACTTAGAAAGTTCGTTCTTAACCCCAAAAATGCAGACTTCCTAGCAGAGGTAACTTTAACCCCACCTACTAATGCTGCCCTTGCTGCTGCTTGCTTGCTCTGCTTGTGGCACTGGTGGTGTTGGCGCCGCTGCTGTTCTCGTTTGCTGATGCGCTTTCTGTTGCTGCTGTCGTTGCTGCTGTCTCGCATTGCTGCTGGCGTTCGCGTTGCGGTTGCTGCTAGTGGTGGTTAGCATGCATTGTATTATGTATCTGCTGCTGCTGTATTAATTGTGTTTTCTAGGAAAAGTCCCAAAGGGCATTTACCGGTTCTTTGTTAGCGAAGTATAGAAATAAACGCTCTTGTCTCCCCCCTAAACAGATCCATATTGGAGATGGCGTCGCCCTCTCTGCCTCAGTTGTAGGCGTCGCTCTTCGATCCAATGGCATGAGTGAGACAATGTGCTGCTGCTGCTGCTGCTGCTGTTTTTGCTCCCTTTGTTGCAGCTGCTGTTACTGTCGCTGCTGTTTCTGTTGTAAGCTTCCTGCCGCTTCTCTACCCCATAACCTGTTTGTCTGAGTCCCCTTATTTGTGTCGCCGTATTTTTGTCTCCTTTTTTATGTATCCTTTCTTAACAGGCCGATCGAACTTTGAAGGTCTCTTCTTTGAGATAGTCTTAGAGCACTGTCTCTGCGTCTGCAACCGTCTCCCTCGGCCTATTACGCTGCGTTTTAATCAGCGGGATTGCGGCGGCACTGCATTGCAGCAGCAGCAGCAACAGCAGCAGCAGATGCTTACATTCGACTCCTTTATTCCTCCTCCACCCACAGAGATGCAGATAGAAGCAGGAGAAGAGGTGTCTCTTCCTGCTGACCCTTCGCATATCTCCGTTTGTTTCGGTCCCCGTGTATCCCGGCCTATAGATGTAGACTTCATTAGCGCAGGGGTAAGCAGAGACTGCATTGGCGTCTCCACAAGTGTCTCCTTCCTTGCTGTCTGTCTCCGTTCTCTTGCTGTCTGTGTCTTGGTTGTTCTCTGTGAGTTTCCTGCTCGAATTGCTGCAGATGTGCCAATTGCTGCTGCAGCGGGAATCGATCGTTGTTCTTATCATTGCTGTTTATGCTGTTGTTTCTGCTGTTGCTTGCAGACGAGTGTGCAGCGCGTAGTGATGCAGAACTGTACGGAAGATACTTCTTCCCGCAGCGGTAATCGGCTGAGCCCTCAGGCGACGGAGCGATCTGCCTCTTTCTCTGGGGACGAGGAGGACGGGGACAGATTGGAGGAGGCGGAGGTTTTAGACAACAGCGCCAGTGGATGGGGAGCTGCAAAGACACTTGATCAGGAGTCCCTTCATGAGCCTGCTGCTCTTCTCCTATGGGCAGAGACAACTGACCACAAGGGAGGCAGCAAAGCAGCAAACTCAGCAACAGCACAGCGACTCTTCCATGGCACCTTCGTCAGGACTCTTACCATCTTCGCCGACTTCTGGGTAAGCAAACCTCCTGGCTAGCCAGCTTGCTAGCTAGCTACTTAGGTAGCTAGCCAGCGACGTCGCTGGTCGCCCTCTGCCTTTGTGAATGCCTACGTCTATGCGTATATCTAGGACCATATGTATATGCATTTGTCTGTGTCTTTGTCTATATCTATATCTGTGTCTTTATCTGTGTGAATTGCATGCAGGTGGTGAATAGGACAGGTTATGTCCTATTATTACGCCGTCATGGCAATGGCAGTCTACAGTCTTTGCCTCCATTTCAACGAGTTGTCTTATCTCATGATTTTGGTGCATCTCGTTTAGCTGTTGGTCTTCCTGCGTCTCAATTTAATTTTGTTAAAGGATTTGATTTATATGCAAAAAAGGAACCATCGGGGCTTCGTAGATGTCTGCATGCAGCATTCTCTTCTCGACAAGACACAGCAGCATGGTCATCAGAATTCCTTCTAAGTGATATGGGGGCTTATCAGATACAATTAGATCGTACAGAGGCTAATCCTTTGCTGCATTATTCTGTCTCTATGGGTATTGCTCCTGCACCTTTCTCTCGTACTACTGTTGTTGAAATATTACCTGCATACGTTCTTGTTAATGAGACGCATAAGCCTTTGTGGGTATGCGAGGCCCCTGGGGGCCCCGATGCACGCTGCCATCTGTTAGAGCCGGGGGCCCTTATTGAGTTCCATCCACAAGGAAAGAGGCCTGTCTCCATCCTTATTACGGCTATCCCTCAGAAGGGGCTCGTAAGGAGACACGCCAAGTGTATTGTCTCCTGGGACAGTTCGCAGCCGGATAACAACAACGACCCAGCAGCTACAAACAACCAGACCACCCTTCAGCCGCAGCAGCAGCAATCGCAGCAACTGCAACAACATCTGCAACTGCAACAGCAACTGCAGCAGCAACAGCAGCAGCAGCTTATGTTCGGGGGTGCTCCCAGTGAGCACTCGGACATATCCAGAAGAAGTCTTCCGTTGTCTGTAGACAATACCAACAGACTTGGGGCACCTCCTATGTCCTTCAGTCCCCTCCCGGTGGGCCTGCAGCAGCAACCGCAGCAGCAGGTACTGCAGCAGCAGCTCCTGCAGCATCAGCTGCAGCAGCAGCAGCAGCTGCAGCAACGGCCATTGGATGGATTTGGCGTAGGAGACGGCCTGACATCCTCTGAGGGAAGTAGGAAGGTGTCTCTACAGTTGGGTTGTGGGGACGGGCTGGGGGGTCCCTTGGGCTCCTCAGCCCCTCCCTCTGCTGTACAGTCTCCTAGGGGCCCTGTCCCCCAGTTTGCCCCTGCTTCTTCTTCCCGTGGGTTAGGTAATTCATGGCAGCTAGCAGAAGAAGACAACAGCAACGAGTCTTCTGTAGGGATTGTCTGGTCGGGGCCTGTGGATATAGACAGTGCCCGTCTTGTTCAGGTGCGGCATCCACAGGAGGTAAAGCCACAAGAACCTGTAGGAGCAGCAACAGCAGCAGGAGGTCCGCTAGCAGCAGCAGCTGCTGTTCCTCCTTTAGGACTTCCTGGTGCTGTACCTCTCGGGAGGCCACCGGTGAGGGGAAGCAGCGGTCCGGGTAGCAGCAGCAGCAGCACCAGCTCCTTCTGTCTAACAGAAGTAGAAGTTTGTCTGTATTCTGGTGCCAAGTTTGTCCGTCTTAGAGATCCTCCTATCCCTGATTTTGTTCTTATTAATAAAACTTCTTTCCCTCTGTTTGTTGGCCAACATGGTGTTGCTGCCCATGAGGTCCTAATGCCTGTCCCAAGGCAATACCTCAAGAAGAGTTATGAATTCCTAGGGAGGTGAGCCATCAGCTAACACACACACACACACACACACACACACACACACACACACACACACAAACACAAAGCAGTGCAGCAGCAGCTGCAGACCTGCGCAAGTCCCCAGATTCAGACCCTCACACTCTTCATTGCTGTGTGTACGGAAAGGGCGGTGGTTGCGTGTTGTATTTTTGTTGGGCTGATGTTGTATATAGTGTCCTTGCTGCAGTTGTTGCTGTGTATACTTGTCCCTTTGTCTCCTTCGTGTCCTTTCTTATATGCGTAAAATATTGTAGGTGCTGCTATCAATTGCTCCTGCTGCTGCTGTTGCTGGTGCTCGTGCTGCAGGTACGGGCTCCCATTTGCCTTCTATGACCCAACAAAGGAGAAGAAGCTTGAAGTATGGCGTATGTCAACAGCGCCGCCTTCAGGCCATCGTCTCTCTGGCCGTTTGTCTCATCTGCATTCCCGTTTAAGGAGTGGTAGTAGACAAGGCAGCTCAGCGCGGGCGTTTAATTCCATAGCTCCGGTGGGGGGGCCCCTGGGGGGCCCTTTAGGGGGTCCTACTTTGGGTGGCCGGTTCACAGGAACTCTTGCGGGACCGTCGACAACGGGGTCGCCTATGAGAGCCTCGCTGCAGCTATATTCAGCGGCTGCAGCTGCGGCTGCCCCTGAGGAGATGGTTACGAAGGTAGATGGGGCGACTCTGCGCCGTATACGGAGGGAATATGCGGAGAGTATTAGTCTGAAGACATCACAAGGGCAGCAAGGTTTAATTCGTCTTGTGCTGCAGAGCAGCTCGGCTCCTACAGTGGCGGGGGGACCTCCTGGACCAGTGGACCGTGTGGTGGTGTGTGTACGGAGGCCAGTGGTCAAAGGGAGTACGTACTTGGTGTTTTTCGAGGCAACGACGCGCGCCTCTCCAGAGCTAGTGAGGGGCCACACACGGGGCCTCCTTGGAGGTGTGGGGAGAGTCATAGAACAAATGCCATGGGCGGAGAAACCTGAGCAATTCATAGCAATGGGGGCAGAGGGTGCTTGGCGTCTTGCGGAGACAGGCGCAACGCAACTAGAGAAATATCTTCCCTGGCCAGGCAACGAGCCCTCTCATTCTCCCTTAAAAATCACCAATAATAATAATAGCTTGAATCCAGGTGCAGCAGCATTGGCTGCTCCTCTTGCTGCTGTTGGGCCTCCAAGCAGCAGCCTTCCGTCACGGAACTCATCCGCAGTTGACAGCAAGTCTGCTGCTGGTGTCCCTGTGGAGCCATTAGTTGATTTGGCCTCTATGGCGAATGGCGGGCCCCCGCGGGGGCCCCTGGACCCTCCTTGCAGCCTGCGTAGCCCGCGGAGTAAGCAGGACGAGTGGGGTATGGGTTATGCTGATGATCGACAGAGGATGGCAGGATGCCGCACAAAGGAGACAAAGACAGGGGGAGGAGGCTTCTCCCTGTCTCCTAAGAAGAGACACTGGAGACTGGGGGGACGATCTATGGGTTTGGGTCAGGGAATGTTAAATGATGGAGGAGAAGGCTGTGGTGGGGAGAGTGATGAGGAGGAGACAGAACGTGTCCCTTTGTTTAGTACGGAGTTAAGTTTAAATTTAGTGTTAGTTGGTGCAGGATTGTCTCTTATTGACAGCAAACCTGCAGAGATATTTTATGGATCTGTTGAATTGCTGCAGTTGGCATTTAATTCTTCACAAGAAGGAGAAAAATTGCGCGTTAGTGTTCGTTGGGTACAAATAGATAATCATGCCCCTCTTGCTTATTACCCAACAATGCTGCGGCCTATTACAGATATGCAGGCGAATTTAAGGGAAGGAGACACCTCTCGCAAGCCCTCTGCAGCAGGAGGAGGAGGAGGAGCAGCAGCAGCAGGAGGAGATGCAGAAGGGACAGGAGACAGTTCTGGTCATAATGCACGTCTCTCAGCAGGACATGGACAGCACAGCCCTCAAGGGCCTTATGGCCAGCACGGGGAGACACCCTCACAGCACCATGGTCCCCTGTCTCCTCGCATGGGGGGAAGGAGAAACGCGGTGGTCGACCTAAGGAATAACCAGCCGGCAGATGGCGAAGAACGCGATGGAGGGGACGCAGACGTTGATGCGGGCCCCCGTGGAGGATTCCCAGGCAGCAACCCCATGGGTCCCCTTGGCGCCGCCCATGGGCCCTTTGGGGGCCCCCATGCTCCTTTTGGAGGTCCCCAGGGTCGTCGTGGTCCCCATCGACTGGGTGCAATTGCTGCTGCACAGAACCAAGACCCTTCCCTGGCTCCTCTCCCTCTGCAGGAAGCGGAGGAAGCCGAGGGTTTGCATGCAGACACCGATGGCCTTCAACTACTTGGAGAAGAAGAGGCAGTGGCACAGTTAGTGCTACAGAGGCGTAACACTATAGATGGTAGAGGTCTTACAGTTATACCTCAGTGTGTCTTACGTCTTGCGCCTATGTCTGTTAATATTGACTTTCAACTGGCCTTCGCTCTCCTCCTATTTGTTGATGATCTCCTACAAACTGCTGACTTCGATCTCCTACAACAAAGTGTTAAAGATATACGCACCTCAGAGACAGACCCTACTAGCCCCAGCTGGAGAGCTATGCTAGGTTAGTCTATGCATGCAAATATATTCATGCTTTTGTCTCCTTCTTTATGTGCATTTACTACCTTAATATAAGCAGATGTTTATGTGCATATTTACGCTAAAGTGCTGTTAAGTATTTATGCAGTTGCACTTATTTTTCTGTAGTTGTGTCTATATATACACCGTGCATAAATGTGAATATTATTTCCTCCCTACAAACTGTATAATTGTATATGTGTATTTATGCATGCATGCATACGCCTGCAGGTCCAGCTGAGGGAGCCCTCTCCGAGGTGATTCGTGGTAGTGGTGGTGATGGTGCAGGGAAGGTATATTTGGGTACTCTTGACGTTGGTCGTGTGGTATTAGTAATAAATATACGTAATAAGAGGCAAGGAGGAGAAGAGGAGGAGCAACCTCATAGCGAGTTAATACGTGGTGTATTAGCTATAATGAAGAGTAGTCCTTATATAAGTGATGCTAATCTTGTCTTTGCCCCTGAGGTACACCAGAGCTTATGCGGCCCCCTTGTTGTCCTTGTCTCCGATATACTACAAACTTACATAGGACAAGCAATTAAACAAATCTTTCAATTATTAGGGGCTGTTGACTTATTGGGTAACCCCGTCATCATGTGTAAACATTGGAAGGCAGGAGCAAGAGGATGCTTCTATGTACGTACACCCCACACCCCACACACATATACACAAAACAATCTTTTATTCTCATATGTATTATCTTCTTGTTATCTATGTAATATATTATGTATATGCATTATTGTACTGTGTATGTTGTTCTATATGTACATATATACACATGTACATATGGATGCATGGGCGTATATGCATGCAAATATATGTATACACCTGTATATTAAGCATAAAGCGTATTACGATCCATACAGCCTGTCGTGTGTGTTGCTATTAGTAATTGTTTGTAATTGTTTGCATTTGTGCACATTGTGTGTTGGTGTCTTAATGTTTATTGTTGTCTTCGTTTACCTGCGCATGCACATGAGGTACATGTGCCCGTTGTGGGGTGTCGCATTGGGGTGTCTTCTTGTTGTTTCTTATTCTTTTGCTGTCTCCCTCTGTGTATGGACTAACTAGGAGAGCTTGCATGCATGTATCTTATCTTGTGTGTATTCCCTGCATGCATGCATACACCCATATCATCTTGTGTCTCATCATGCATGCGTTTCTTCAGGAATTACGCCGTGGTTTAGCATTATGGGGTACTCCTGGCTTTGCCTGCATATCCTTTGGTCGTGGTTTAACACGTTGCGGCATGGGATTTATTGGCGGTCTCCTCGACTCTTCCGGTCGTCTCTTTGGCTCGTGGTTCCAATGCTTTGAGGCATTAGCTAGAAATGCCGATGTATTCTCTGTATTACCATTCGCACAAGGTCAAGGAGGAGGAATTGCTGATCAACCAGGCAGCATCGCTGAAGGACTTGTGTAAGAAATACACACAATCATATACATATGCATACATGCATGCATGCATGCATACATACATGCGTGCATATGTAGAGCATCCGTGTGCATCTCCACGCATGTTGTATGTATGGTTGCATATGCTCGCGCATGCAAATTTGTTTCTGAGGTTGCAAGGTGTTAGCTTTTCTCTCTATGCATGCATGCATGCATGCACGTGGATAATATGGTTTGCATGCGTAAATATCTCTGCTGCTGCATTTATGTGTCGAGTGTATATGAATATATATGTATGTATATGTATGTATATATGTATATGCATGTATATGTGTATATGTGTATACAGGAGCGGCGGCAAGGGTTTTGCATTTACATTTGCCTTATCATTAGCGAATTTTTGTGGTAAACCATTTAAAGCAATGCAAATGTATTTATCGCAGCCATCAGTAACAACAAAAACAGATAAATTATTAGCAGGCAGCAAAGGGCTTGCTATTGGTGCTGCATCGGGCCTTGGATCCTTATGCTTTGGTGTACCTTCTTCCCTCCTCCTTCTTCTCTCCTCGTCATGTGTTGGAGCCCTTAATCAAATACAAGCTGTACCCATGCTTGAATCCGTAAGACACACATCCAGCCTCCTGCTAACCCTGTTGCTGCTGGTGCTGCTGCTGTGGTTGCTGCTGCTTCGCCTTCCTTCTCCTGTCACTGCTGCGCTGCTGCTGGTTTTGGGTCTTTCGCTCTTAATGCATTTCTTTTCTGTATGGTTTCCCTTCCTCTTATTCTCGTTGCTGCTGTTGTTGTGTCTTTCTTGTTGGTGTTCAAGTTTGTATCTATTGTATAATTCTTCCCTCCTTTTTGTTCTTTCGCCCTTGTGTCTATTTTCACCGTTATTCTTGTCGGTATCGCTGCTGCTGTTGTTGCTGCACGTTGCTGCTGGGATGCTGTCTGTTCTTGTGCTTAGGTGCGCCCCCGTCGTGTCTTTTGTATTGGTAGTTGGCGTCCTGATAGTTATAGCTTTGCCTTAGCTATAACCCAAAGTTCGATCCCCCGATCCCCACGATCCCCTCCTGCTCAGCTGCTGCTAACAATACCGGTGTCTAGACACCGTGAGGAGGGGGATGGTATGGTGCCTGCATGGGCAGGAGCGCCGCTGCACCAGCTGCAGTCTTGGCAGCAGCAGCGCAACGCAGCGCAGCAAGGAGGGGGCCCCAGACGCCGCCGCATGCAGTTGTGTCTTGCCGTTGGTCTTCGTAAGTTGGGGCTGCTTGAAGGTAAACATGTGCTGTGGAGTTGCTATAGAGGAGAGGTAGTAGAGCTTAGGGTTGTAAGAGAATACAGCAGCAGCAGCAGCGCCAACAGCAACAGCAGCAGCAGCAACATACACTGCAACTTCTTCCTTAGAGTTCTTCATTATAGGAACAGAGGCAATAGACCGCCGCCTGATGATGGGCTAACAAGACAGACTCGCGAAGGACTTCGACAAAGAGCAGAACTCGTGAGATCCTGCTTGTGCTTCTGCTCTGTTGCTGTTGTTGCTGCTGCTGCTACTTCTGGTGTCCTGTTGCTGCTGTTGCTGTTGTTATAGTACTATTTGTACTGCTGCTTCTGCGAATCCTCTTTTCGACACGCTGCTTACGTGTGTGTTGCTGCTGTTGCATTCTTAGGGGGATGCGGATGTGCAGCTGCCGGCAACAGCCAGCTCTACCTCGAGTACGAGCTTCCCCAGCAGCACGACCAGCAGCACGAGCAGCAGCAGCAGCAGCAGTAGCAGCAGCACATACTCCGACGAAGAAGGGGAAGAGGAACTCTACGACGAGTTTTCTGAGAGTAGTTCTTCTTACCTGTCAGGTGGCGTAGAAAGACGCCCTTCTGCGGATCCGGAAGCAGCAGCAGCAGCTTCGCCAGCAGCGGGAGGAGCTGCTGCTCCCGTAGTAAGAACAGCAACAAAGGGAGGCCAAATCGATGGCCTCCGTACAGGCAAGAGCAACGTCTCTAAGCCTACAAGAACTATATCAACTCTTGCTGCCTTCATAAGGGGTTCCCGTCTCCCTAGATCCTCTATTAAGGAGAATATTGAACTGCAGCAGCTCCAGCAGCAGCAGCAGCAGCAGCAGCGTTGGGTTTCGTCTCCTGATTCTGCTGCACCGCAGGACGAAGTTGATTCTGGGCCGGTTTCTCAGTCGCGACAACAGCTACAGCTGCATCAGCAGAGGCAGCAGCAGCGGAGTGCATGGCAGGTATTAAAAAAGACAAAGGTAGGGGGGTGGTTATTAGGAGGAGGAGGCAGTGAAGAAGATGATGTATTTAAACAAACTTTTGTCTCCCGATGGATTGAATTCCCCACAGAGACAGCCGCCCTTCAGGCCTTTGATGTCTTAGCCCAACTCTTAGATAGTCCACCAGGACAAGGGCTTGCAGAGGGGACTCGTTGCCCCCTTGCATAAATATATATATATATATATATATATA